TGACCTTGATCATATCCCTTCTTTAAATACAAGGTGGTCCTTCTATGTCTGTAATTGTGATCACTGCTAAAAGGAAGCTAGTAACATAGCATCAAAGCACAGTGCAAAAAGGCAATTCAATCAGACACCAAAACTCTGTATCAAGTGTAGAGTCCTCTTGTCACTTCATACAAGGAAAAAAATTTAGAATACATAAAATAAGGACTCATCATCCTCATAAAATTCACCAGAAATATATGCCTCTTGAGTTTTTAATTAACTCATTCATTCTGCATTTATTGAACACCACTTAGTGCTGGCATTTTGCTAGGCCAGAACTGGTAATACAGTAGTATGCAAGAGAGACACAATCTGCCCTTGTGAAGTTTTCCATCCCAATTGCAGTGGAGGACACAGATAATAAAAATATAAGACAAGATTGTGAAAGATGCTGTGAAGGAAATAAACAGTGTATGTGATAACAGAGAAACAGGGTGGGACGAGCCTTATTTTATATATACATGTAATAAAAATGTGTGTTTGTGTATGTGTATGTGTATATTTGATTCTGGCATCTCTGCTCTGTGCTGTATTCTGTTATTCAACTTGTCTATTCCTAAGCCAATATAGAGCTTTATAGTTTAATTATATAGCTTTATAATAAATGTTGTTAATTGCAGGGTACATCCCCTGTCCTATTTGTTTCCCTCAGAAGTATCTTAGCCATTTTTGACTCTTAGGTCTCTCATAAATATTTTAGAATCAACCTATCAAGTTCCATGAAAAATGCTAATAGGATTTTGGTTAGAACTACTTTTAACTCTTGGATGGAATTTGGGAAGAACTGACACATTCAGTCTTTCTATCATGAATGTAGCTATTGCTTCATTTATTTTTGTCTGTAATATCTTTTAGTCAGTTTTATAATTTTCTGTAAACAGGCCTTGCACATTTATTAAATTTTTTTGAGGTAATCTATAGACTTTGTGTGTGTATGTGTACTACTGTTATTGCATGTAAATGGTCCTTAAAATATGTGTTCTATTTCTTTGCTGCTAGTATTTTAAAATGCAGTTAACTTTTGTCTGGTAGAAGGCCTCTCTGGCCCCATCCCCCAGCCACATGGAAGGAGCTTAACTTCCTTATGTGACTGGGCACAATGCCCCTGACTGAAGGAACTCCAGCCCCTTCCGCCTAGCAACCACCTAACCACCTAACTAATCATCACCCACCACCTCTGCTCTCCCACCGCCCCAGGCCCTCTGCCCCTATAAAACCCACCGAACAAGGAAAGCGCGCGTGATTCCTCCCTCCCCGCTTGAGTCGCCCGGAGATCCCAATAAAGTTGGTACCGGCCACCACGCGTCCTGCCTCGTGTCTACTGGGTGCCTGCCTCCGTGGGTTGGGGTCCCACAACCAGGGGTCGCACAAGTGGTGCCGAAACCCGGGAGGTTTGGGCTGCCGGCCCAGCCGCAGGCCCCTCCCCTTTGCGACCTCTCTGAATCCGGCTTCTCTGCACTCCGATTAAGGTAAGTTCGTTCTTTTTTCCTTACCTTTCCTTCCCCGTGGTGTGCACTGTGGTCCCTCCCAACCCCAAGTCCACGGACCTCTCGCCAAGCGCCGGCCGGCCCG